AGGGCAGTACTTTCAAGCATTAACAAAACACAAAAACCAAACACTGGTTTAAATGATCATCTCAACCAGTTAAAGATAGAATAGCAAATCATTTTTCTATTTATCATTTTTCTGCTTCAATAAAATGCCCCAAAAGGCTAAGGCCATAAAGGATACCACGTGCTTTTGAAGTTCTTTGTGCTTCCAGCACAGGGGTGCATGCATTTATGTTGCCACTTTCCCCTTTTGATCTATGATGATGTGATCATGATAGAAAAAGGCTAGTGTGGGAAAATCTTAAAGTAGAAAATTCACTTTATTAAGAAATAAGACCCCCCCAAAAGAAATGAGTAATAGTAAGCAGTGAAACAGAGATACAGGCTTTTCAGGCAGGAGAAACATGTGACACACCTGATGGTTCTAAGGCCTGTCTCAGGGACTCTGAGGAGTGACATCATTTCAAGAGTTCTTGGCAAGAAAGTCTTGTGAGAGTTCAAACTGGCATACTACCAGAACACGAATCAGGGGAGCTACAATGGATGCTAACATCGGGAAATGTATAAGGAAAACTCAAACTCAATAATGTCTTGCTACAAAATCATAGCAGCCTGTGTGAAGAAAAATCATCAAAAGGTAAAGTTACCATTTCTCCACATATCTTCCATCTAAGTCTATACAAAGGAGCTCCAGTGATGCTGCCGGGTAAGTACGGGGACTGCTGACAGCAACAGTAGAGGTTCAAGCCCACCTGCAGCTCGTGAGAGAAAGAAGAGGTTCCTGGACAGGGTGACAGCCTGTAAACCCTGTAGAGTGGCTGTGAGTCAGGATTCATTTAATGGCAGTGGGTAAGTCTATATATTTCTCAAAGCACTGTTTTCGCCTCCGTAACCTTTCACCCAAAGAATTGTGCACTCTTCCCGTTGCACTATATCAGTGGTTCCCAACCTTCCTAATGCTGCGACCCTTTAATACAATTTCTCATGTTGTGGTGAGCCCCAACCATAAAATTATTTTTGTTGTTACTTGATAGCTGTCAATTTGCTACTGTTATGAATTGGGCGACCCCTGTGAAAGGGTCGTGCGAGCCCCAGGTTGAGAACCGCTGCACTCTGTGCACAGGGCATGGTGGGCATCCTCCAAGAATGAAAATCACATTATTTTTCAATGCTGTCTAACATTAGGGAGCAAAAGGAAATCTCAATGACAAAATCAGGTGTGTAGGGTGAATGGGGTAGTTGCCTAACAAACATCTTGTAGGGCCTTTCATGTTACCCCTGAAGAATGAGCAGCTGCATGATCATGTGAGAAAAAACATTCATTGGGACAACTTTCCTGGCCTTTTTCTCATCAAGGCCGTTTTCAATTTTTAAAATTTCTTCCTCATACATCCTTCTTGATTGTCCTCTGGGTCCTTCGATAAAAAGGATCAGGATCACCTCTTTCAACTCCAAAAGAGTTGCCATAACCTTCTGAGCTGAGCTCTTTGCCTTAAATGTAACAACCTCGGCAGCGGGTCCCTTTGAAGTCACTGTTGTGACTGGACCTTCTTCTCAAAGTGATCCTAATGAGACGGAGACAACATATTACTGAGAGAACATCTTCAGCTATCCACTGATCACAGAGAGCTGCTGAAATGGATTTTTGCGTGGAAGAAACTGTGCATGGATGACCTGGAGACATAACGTTACCTGTCGTTGTTAAGTACCATAGAGTCGGTTCCAAGTCATTGAGACCCTCTCTGTAACAAAGTTTAACTTACCCCCAAAGACGCTGAAAAATATTAAAACATACAGTGCAATTAAACTGTTTGATGTATAGCTTCTAGAATTAGACTCACTATAGCACATCACATATATGGGAACTTGTAAAAGGGATTTCTTTAGGATCACAGCCTTGAAACGTACCTCTCAAAGGATGAAATGTCTCTAACATGATGTCTTTTTGTAAGTAAATCCTATTCAAATGGGCCTAATTTGGGATTGTCATATTTTCAAAATATATCCCTAAAAATGAAACATGACAGCAGTAACACAGGGCATATGAGAAATCCAGAAATCTTTTATTTATGAAGTCTTTTTTCTCCCCCTTGATTTCACCTAGCTTGTGCGCCCACACAGCAAAGGAGCTCTCTGCTTGACGATGATGGAAAGGTGGAGAACCACAGCTCTGCTCTGTGAGCGGTGAAACGCTTGAACGTTACCCACAGCAAGACGAAGCTGAAAAGGGTATGGACTAGAAACGTGGGCTCTGTGATGTGGCCCACATGACACATGTGACATCTCTGCTGCGCTAACGTTTATAATCTACTATAACTAAAATATTGGTTCAATGGAAACTAAAGATGCCAGTAGGTAGCGGTGTTCATTGACCCTTTACCTTTACAGCATTCTCCAATCTGCTTTAGTCCATGATTTAGGAAGGTGACAACAGATGTGGCAGTTCTGAATTGCTTAGTACACGTTATATTTAAAGGCCTGCTTTCAATATCTTCCCAGCATACCTCATAAATGGGTCCAAGTCACATATTCAAAGTGTATCCCTAAAAATAACACCATATTTTGGAGTGGGATATAAATTATACTTATGGGGTGTAGATTTAAGAAAAAAAAGGCTAATTTAATATTTCATAAATATATTATTTGTCTTCCTTACCCATGTCTTATCATATAGATGCTGTGGGTAGCAGCACCAGTGTGACAAACGAAGGTTGGTGGACCAGAGGATCCATTGTCCAAGGAAAGGCTTGGACAGTCTTGTGGAAAGAGAAACAAAATGCTCTGACCACCAGTTAAGAAGGTGATAACTTTGTCACCATCAATCAAAGCATACTTACCAGTATATGTTAAAGGCATGGTGACTTCAATTGTTTACGCATTGGCTGCTAACCACAAGGTCAGCATTTTGAAACTACCAGCCACTTCTGGGGAGAAAGAGGAGGCGTTCTACTCCTGTCAAGAGATACAATCACAGAAAACTACAGCGACAGTTCCAGTCTGTCCTATGCGGTCGCTATGAGTTAGCATCTACTCTATGGCAGTGTTTGGGTCTTTTTAAAAAAAAACTTTTTTGGTTTTAACATATCAGAACCCTCTAGCTTATACAACTGATCATTGGATTCTTTCCACATATACATTCTTCCATGTGGCAATTAATAATCAATGAAATATGATATGGAACTTTGAAGTGGAAAAAACACTAAACCATAATAATTTAAATAAATAAATAAAACCAGCCATTGCATTGTCCTCAAAACAATTAAAACTGACTTAAACAAAACATGTTCATTACAACACAAATATTTAAGGGGCCAAGAATATCCAGATGATTAAGCCCGAAGTACTCTGGTAGTGGGGTGTTAGTTGGTATGATAAAGTGAAGGCCATTGAAGAAATGTTTTTATACAAATAGATCCTCTATGCATCCTTCTAAGGCATTCAAGGCAGGGCAGTCTGGGAGCTTTGAGTACAGTGATCTTGAGTTCACTTGATTTCCATCACTGTGTTCATGTTTCCCAAGGTAAAAGCTACAAGAGGACTATCCTTCTAAGATCGCAATGGCAGCTTGGCTTTCTGTAAGAAGAAGATGGACTATGATGTGTTGAATGTCTGTAGAATTCAGTGCAGTATGTGAAAATGGAAATAAAATAAAAGAGGTTTATGTGCTTTGGAACCTCTCTAGCTATAAGTAATTAATATATTCTTTGGAATCTCTTTAGAATGTAATATTTTCTCTTTATACAATGTAGGTTACTATTATTTTAGAAAATAAAACTTATTTTAAAAATTTAAGAAACATGTTATTTTCTATTTTGAGTGATACCAAACTTGTGTTATATGTTTGGTTTTGTGGCTGCTTAGAACAATAAATATTAAGATTTTCAGCAGATATAAATGGATGTCCGCACTAATTTACAAAATCTAACCTGCATAGGTGACTTCTCTTTGGACGAACACAGAAGAGGATTCAGCATCTAGAGGGACTTCAGATCACTTTTCAGCATTGCTCAGGTTTTAGTTAGACACCCTGGCTTTGAAAAGGGGGGAGGGTAAGAGCCACGATATGGCATTAATATATTGTTACGTTTTATTGCTAGGTCTATGGATTTATGAATAACAAGTGACGATGGATGTTGCAAAAATGATCTTATAGCCATAATAAATTATAAATGATCACAGAAGTCATGTTCTTAGTAGTTCAACTTAAAAAATAAGCTTTATTACCCACCATGTTTTCTACTCGCAGAAAGAATGACAGTCTCAGAAACCTATAGAGGCAGTTCTAAGGGTGAGTCAGAATCGACTCGATGGCAATGATTGGTTTTTCATTTTTGTTTTTGTTTTTGAGGTACACTGGCGAGTGACTTCCTTTGGCCAAACAACAACAACAACAACCCAACTCTCATGGAGTCAATTCCAGAGTAGAATTGTTCCCTTGGGTTTCTGAGACGGCCAGTCTTTCTGGTTGCAGAAGCCTCATCTTTCTCCCAAGGAGCAGCTGGTGGATATGAACTGCTGACCAACTATGCCACTAGGGCCCTTAACATTTGAAGTCCCTGTTGCTATGAAGCTGTGAAGGTGAGCAAAACAAAACCAACTTCTTCTTTTCTGGGGGGGTAGGGGGAGGGCAGGGGAAGGAAAAAGGAAAAACACAAACTAAGTCACCAGCGATACATCTTCAATGTTCCGCTTTCGGATGGCAAGCACGGGCTCAAATACCTACTGAACTCACTGTTGAGATTAGGATATAAAACTCATCGATGTTTTTAAGATGTAGGAACGTCATGATAAAATTAACATAATCCGGGCAATATACCATGATCTCGTTTCCATTATTTTATACTTTACCTGGTTGTTTTATTTTCTGGTTATTTGTGATAGCCAACCGCATATGTGAAATCCCAATGTTGCGTTCTCACTTACTGAAATGGAAAGGACTCCAGGTACCAGCGAGCTCCTCTGGGCTACTTGTGTCTGGCTACATGATACGAATGAGCTAGGGTGACTCTCCCGAAAAGAACTTACTGTTTGAATTTTGTGGGAATCCAGGCAAGGAAGACGGACCGTTCATTCCTGGGAGAAGGACCGGAGGGAGCCCAGGAAGTCCTGGGTAGGCTGCGGGCAGGCTGAGGCCGTGGAGGGAACCGCCATCCATCATGCCCGGCTGCTGGACTGTCAAGCCCAGCACATCGGAGGCTTTCTTTATGCGGTCAAGTTCTTGCTGGGCCATCAGCTGTCGAACCGTGGTCGGAGCCAAGTAATCTTTCTCCCGATCAAGCTGGCTTCCAACGGTCTCCCTCACTTTGGAAATGTGCTGTTTGGAGAAAATATGATCTCTGATGGACAAGCGAGCGGAGTACTTCACCCCACAGAGAGTACACTCTGGCTTGGTGCCTTCCGTTCCGCTCTGATTGATCATAAAAGGCTTCCCTATGTTAATTTTAAATTTCTTTTCCTTTGCCCGTGCATTTTGAAACCATACCTGGACCACGCGCTTGGGCAGACCAATCTCATTCCCCAGCATCTCACACTCCTGCATGGTGGGAGTTCGGTAGTCGCTGAAGCAGGCCTTCAGGACCTTCAGTTGAAGATTGCTCATTTGAGTTCGGAAACGCTTGTGGCCTGGTCGATCGTGACTTTTGGATTTAAAAGGGTTGCCGGATCCGAAGGGATTGGGCGAACTCGGGTCAGCTATGCTCGACGTCTCGCTGCGGTCAGCATTGTCATCGGGGTCATCCGTGATATAGAAGCTTTGGTCATGGTCACCATCTTTGTCGCTGAAATGGATTGATGGACTGGTGAGAGAAAAGAGGAATTTCTCATCACAGACCTCGGCGGTCGGGGTGGTTGCTGTTTTGGGCAACGTGTCGAGCGTTTTCGGCTCTTTGGGAGACAAGGCTGGCTTCGCGTCCCCCGAACTGCCCGCGGTGCCTTCCAGTTCTGCGTTCCCCTCGTCTCCAGTGGTGGCATCGCTGATGGCCGTATTAATCGACGACGTCTCATCAAAATCAGTCTTATTTTGATCGTACCCAGCCTCCGCCGGGGGAGCACTTAAATGCTCGCCATCCTCAGAACATTCGACTTTAAAAGAGGAAGGGCTTAAAAGATTCTTCGGCGACAGCTCCGTCTTACTCACAGGTGTGGACACGGTGGAAGCCAATTCGTTCTCACTCGAGAGATCGATTTTAGTTAATGGCAACGATGGGTAATCAAAATAAATGTATTTCTGTGGGCTCTCTGCCCCGTCTTCTGTTGATATCAAGGGGCTGGGGGGCAGGCTGTAGCCTGCCTGCTTGCCCTCGCTCCAGTGCCGAGAGCGGACGTGGCTCTCCAAGGCCGACTTCGCCTTGAACAGCGCGCGGCAGAAGGGACAGCGCTTGTGGGACTGCGCGGGGCCCACGGCCCGGAACTGGCCTTTCCTTTCTCGCGCTCGAGTGTTCTGGAACCAGACCTGGACAACTCTCTTCTTCAGCCCGACCTCCCGTGCGATGTGGTCGAGCATTTTCCGCGTAGGGTTGGAATCCAGCAAGTATTTCTCGTAGAGCACTTCCAGCTGTTCGGGGGTAATGGTGGTCCGCAAGCGCTTGTCGCGATGCTGGTCCTCGCCGCTGTGGCCGCCCTCCTTCTCACTGCCGTTGGTGTCTTCCTTGTCATCCAGTTTCCTTTTCAGGGACGCCGCCACCGTCCCCGCGGCCGCGGCGTGGGAGGTGCTGGTCTGGGGCGGCATTGGGGTGAGCGACCCGCTCAGCAGCTGCCCAGCCATCAGGGGGCTGTTGGGGTCGAAGATCATGTAGGGCATATCCATGGGCCTTTCCAAGAATGGCGAGTGAAGGAATTGGTTCTGAGCAGCAAGAAAGTGCATGTGCTGGTGCTCTTGCCACAGGTCCAGGCTGGGGAAGGCAACGGTACAGTGATCACATTGGTATTGTAGTAATTGTGGAGGTAGACTGTTGGGGAGCGAAGTCATGGGCATTTGCAGGGGGCTGGAAGGGACTGGGGGCTGGGAGGCTGAAGGAGGTCGGCCAATGAGTTGGGCTGGTTTGGGCAGCGGTGGCTGTGGCTGTGGCTGAGCCAGGGAGGCCTGCGCTGGGTCTGAAGAGGTGGATGCGAATGGCAGGGCTGGTTTGGTGCCTTGAGAAGCAGGGGAGGAGTCGCTCGGCTTTGGTTTCTCTGTAGGATATTCAGGTTTTGGAGACGTCTTCTCGGGTTCTGGTTTGGGCGAAGGAATCAAGGGGGTGCTCGTGCCCGAGCCAGAACTGGCTGCAGGCACCGCCGCACTCTTGGAGGTCTCAGTCTGGCCCGAGCCCGAGCAATGTTTATAGACCACTTGATCGGTGGCGTCCATGGAATCTTCGGTTTGGCTTTCATCTTGGGCGTCGTCGTCTTCGTCCTTGTAACACTGCTTTTTCTGATGGGTGATCAAGTCAAAGATGCGGGGGAACACCACATTGCACTTTTTACATTGGTACTGCATGTTGCTTGTTCGAATATACCGTTCATTGGTGAGTTCTCTTTTTTCATTATCTTTCGTTTCTGCTTGGTTCTCATAACTCTTCCGCGCTTTCTGACGAGCATTCTGGAACCAAACAACGATGACCCGAGTAGGGAGATTGAGGACCGTGGAGAGCTGTTCAATCTCATCGTCCTTCGGGTAAGCGTTTGTGTCAAAAAAGTCTTGTAAGACCCTCAGCTGGTAGTCAGTAAACCTTGTTCTGGAGGACCTTTTACTGAACGATGCGTCAGATTTATAATGCTCCAGCGAGGTGGGCTGTGGGTCAATTCTGATATCTTCCAACACCGTCATCGGAGGGTTACTGAAGTTGTACGGGGAGTCTTTATTTCGTTGTCGCTCCTTAAAAAGGGTATTTCGAAACCAGTGTTTGATAACCTTCTGGGAGAGGCCAGACTTTTCTGCCATTTCTTGGATCTGCTCTTCGCTGGGCGAATTATTGATGTCGAAATACGCCCTCAGGATTTTTAATTGGTCATCCGTGATCCTTGTCCGTGGGCGTTTGAACTGAGAATGTCGTAAGAAGTTGGGGTCCAGACCCAGCTGCTGCTGACAAAGCTGGGTGAGGTCTGCGGACAGTGCGTCCACCTGCGGCAGCTGCAGGGCCAGCTGCGGGGGCAGGGCGGGGTGTTGCACAGGCTGCATCATGATGGGTGGAAAGAGGGGAAGGTCCAGAGAAACCGGCAGAGGCACCTGTGGAGGAGCCGAAGGAGGCGGCGGCGGCGGCGGCGG